AGATAGATAGATAGATAGATAGATAGATAGGTAGATAGATAGATAGATAGGTAGATAGATAAATAGATAGATAGGTAGGTAGATAGATAGGTAGATAGAACTGGGTAAGATTTGTTTCACGATCCCCTTACGTTTAAGGTAATACAATCTTTGCTTCATTATTTCCTTCTACCCTTCTTTAATTACCTACCCTCTATATCTATATATCTACATTTACATCAAGAAAGAAAGAAAGAAAGTTCGGATGGATGATTAGTTATGTATTTTACTGGAATCATTTGCCATGATTAACAGCTTTCGAATTCTTTTCCAATGCTATCATGCACACCCCCTCACTCGAAAGACTGGAGCAACACAATCTTCTTATCTCTCTTCTCTTCCCGACCACAGTTTAGCTCTAAAATTAAAGAAATATGCGTAATATATCTATGGGTGTATACTTATACACATTTTTAGATTAGTTTAATATAATGTCAAAGGGAATTAGGAAGATCGTGTTGCGCCAGAACGTCTGGCTTCACTGATAATTTGCTCTCAATACCGTTTTTTTTTTTTTTTTTTTTAAATACGTATGTCTGTATAGCAAATGCTAGAGAAATAGGCAATTTCTATTTCGAAAATACTGGCAATATGTGTTATTTTTTTAATAACACGCATTTTTGTCCCAATATAGCAATATTTAAAAATAAAATTATTAATAACCTCAGCACTTACTGTTTTAGTGAAATGTTTATTTAAAAAACGTAATTTTCGGTTCAATTCACCAAAGGTCGGAGTAATGTCAGTGTGAATAAGAAATCGTCATAGAGGACGTAACCCTGCCTGATCGATGACACTTCATTTTTTTTTTCGTTTTGACGGTACCTTAGGATAGCTGAATTCTTCCCATTCTCAATCATTTCAAAGTATCGAAATCAAAAACTAAAGTCTGTAATTACCTCCCCCTTTCCCACGAATAAGCTGATGAACCGAGAAAAAGCGATTAACAGGCTTTGTGGGCTTCAAGCATTTTCGCAAATAGTTTACTAGTTTTATGCGTTCTATCTTAATTAAGTAGCCCCCTTAGGCGACCTTGTGTCATACATGGTTGAGCTGATAGAACCATTACTCTAAAAAATAGGCATGCTTAAAAAAAGAAGCTATCTTGCAAAAAACGGATAACTTGTGAGAATAACGAATGTTGAATAAACTGAAACAGTTCGTTATTAAAAAGAAAAAGAAAACTTCGAAGTTCGTGTCCAGTCAGGAATCGAATGAAGATTTTCAAAACAAGCATTTTTTTTTTCGTTTTAGAAGCAACATATTTCTTTTATCCGCGATTATTAACCTGGTAATCGCGGATAATGGTTTTGTGATGGGTGTTAAAAAAATATCAAACATTTATTTATTTCAGATGGAATTGGACATAATGATTAATAGTTCGAGTCGAATTTTAAGAAAAAAGAAAGCTAGTTTTAAAAAGAATTGAAAATCTTCGAGGTCTAAAAGAAGTTGCTCTGTGTGTGTGTGTGTGTGTGTGGTGACGGTGGTGTGTGTGGAGGGGTAAAATGCTTCGAAATTGGTTCAAAGAAACCATTGACGTAATGCAAGTTAAAAACCAAAAATAATTATTTCATTTCAATTCAACAAATGCAGATAAAGGCAAAAAAAGTAATATTTTCTTGAATTTGGTTGTGTGAATAACAACAAAAACAACAACAATAATAATAATGCGATAATAAGCAAGCAACAAAATATTGAAGCAATTTGATAAAACAAACGCTTAAATATAATGTGTATACAGTATATACTATGTGTGTGTGTGTGTGTGTTAAATATGTTAAAATTAACTTACTCTATAATTTCCCGTTCTTTCCTTCCCTGGTGTAGACGACATTATTGCCCAACTATAAGTAGATACGGTCGACGTTTAAAAATAAACATATTTACCCACAAGAAAAGTTTGCCTAACCTGACGTTCGTCGTTCATAAACTGATAATGTGTGTGTGCGTGTGTGTGTGTGTGTATGTAAGAGAGAGAGAGATAGAGTGTGTGTGTGTTGATACTAAGGAATGGTAATCGTTACTTAATAAACTCTAGATAAAAAGCCCAGTTATGCGATTAGATTAGATTGACAGGGAACAAATATTTTGACATACAGAAAAAAAAAAAAAACTCACCCTCACTGAACATTGCTTTTTTTTTTTTTCTTTCTTTTTTTTGTGTGTGTGTGTGTGTGTAAGAGGGAGGGGTAAATGGAGAAACAAAACGTTTAATGAAGAAAACTAGTGAATGAGACAAAGATTGAATGAAAGAAAAATAATAGAATTTTATAAAGTTAAGACGGAGAAAGAAAAGAAAAAGGTAGAAAGAATGAAGCGGAAAAAAAGCTGAATTGAAATGAATTGAAACGACATATGAATAAAGAAAACACATCCAACAATTGACCAAAGCAAAAGTTAGTTTTCTTTCTCTCACCTGCGAGCTTTTTTCGTCGACGAAGAAACCGTAGTTTGGGTTAAAAAAAATAAATAAATAAAAAAAGAAAGAAAAGAAACAAAAAAAAAAAGAGAAGAAAAAAGGGAAAAAAAAAGAGAGAAAAAAAAAAAGAAATCAGCAAATTAAACAAACAATCAAGCAAACAAAAAAGTTCTTTTGAGAATATTTACGCTTTTCTGATAGGTAGAATAAAACTCTTAACGAAAATAAAAAAAAAAGGAGAAAAGAAAAGAACATAAAATAACAATAGTACTCTCCCTCCACTATAGAAAAACCACTCGTAATATATTTTCCTTTTTGTGTGATCTTTTCAACATTAAGTTTCTATTAAATTTTCTCTGCTCCGCCCCCTCCTTCTTTCGTTCTTCACTTAGACAGCAAGTGTCGAGGTTATTAATAATAATAGTAATAATAACAACATTAATAATAATAAAGCTAAGAATAGTAATCATCAATGGATATAATCGCTTGTAAGGCCTAACCGCTGCTACTGATCTCTGCCGCCTTCCATTTCCCCCCCACTTTCTTATTCATTCAATCACACACACATACCGCTCTCTGCCTTGTCTGTCTCCGCCCCTAAATAATAAAGCATCTATCAAAGAACCTGCCCTAGTTGGTTGACGTTCTCTCACAACCTCCCTAGACGCCGAAGGAGACACACAAGCTTTCGGCTTTCTCCTCCTTCGTTTTGCTCTTGTTGTGTGAACAGCAAGAAAGAAGAAATTATATCTACCGATCGAACTTACGGATCATTCTTCGTATCAGAAATTAATACTAGTCATCTGGACTACTTTGGACTTTTATTATCTATCTATTTGTCTATCTATCTATCTATCTAATTTGTCTTTACATATATACACACACACATATATATAAATATATATATATACATATATTTACGTTCAGTTATTTATTTCTTAAAACAAACCAAAAGCAGAGAAAAAAAAAAACAAAGAAAGAGAGAGGAAGTGGAAAAAAAATACCCATTCATTTTGACGAAGTAATCGCGATAAAATCCCCCGAAATTGTTTGTTTAATTCGAACAAAAACTGATTTTAAACATTTTGTGATTCTTTTTCCGGAGAAAGGAAAACAATTTTTTTTTTTTTTTAAAAAAAAAAAAAAAAAAAAAAGAAAAAAAAGAACGGAAAATACAAAATTTCAAACAAACAAAAAACGGAAAATACAGGTGTAAAAACCTGAAATGAAACTGGATTTAAACACATAACAATATACGCACACACATACGAATATACAAATCTCTATATCTATATATATATATATATATATTTATATATCTATAGAGAGAGATATATATTTATGTGTAAAAATTGACAATGTTCAACTGATGTGAAAAATCCCAGCACCAAAGGAATACAAGATATTATTTTTTGCTCAAGTTTAAAAGAAATCATCTCGTGAGGAAACGGATAAAAATCAACCGGGTGATATGTAAACCTTTCAAAGCGTTGATACATAGGGACCTCACGGCTTTTATTCTTTTGATCTACAATCGTCGCAAAGAAGAAGGAAAAAAACAAAGAAAACTATATAAGGCAACTCTTCCAGCCTGGTTGTTAATACCTATGTGTATATTATACGATTTACAGTGACACGTACGGATAACAGAAATATGTAAGAAAGACAAAAAAGACGCCTCAATAAGATTTTTAAAATCTCCAACCACAGATAAGTTTGGCGCAAGGACATCGACTCCAAGATTATTTTTTTTTACAACGACAAAAAAAAAAAAAAAAAAATAAACCAATTGGATTTAACATATATAAAATTATCTTCGGGATTATATATTAGCCGTCATCCTGTTTGTAAAGAAAGAAAAAAATCTGTTTGCATTCCCGTGTGTTCTCTCTCTTTCTCTTTTTGTGTGAGTGTGTGTGTGTGTTCTTTTTTATTGAGAGCAAATAATTTTTTAACCAAAAAACAAACGAAATTATTACTTTATTTTTTGTTGAGTTGAATGTTTTCAGATCCTTTTTTCCCTTTCTTTTATTGTCTATATTGGACAAGTATTGTCATCTAATTTTAGAAGTGACCACCATTGCTGTGGTTATATCTTACGTCTTTCTCACTCTCTCTCTCTCTCTCACCCTTCTACTCTTAAACAACAAACACTACTACTACTACTACTACTACTGCATAAGCCCTCTTCAAATCACTATTAATTATAGCTATATACTCAGTATATATATGATTTCAATGTCGTTCCCATCATAAAAGGAAAACATATTCAAACAAGAAGACGAAAAAAAAAAAAGACAAGAAAAAAAAAATAATTTACAATTATTAGTTTGTTTTGATTTGATTTTTTTAAATTTTTTTTTTCTATTCAAAAAGGGGGCAAAGCCTTTAAACTTTTCTTTAGTAGCTTGGTATTTCAAAGGTGTCCAGCATTTCTTATTCACACTTTCCTTACCTGGAAAGGGACCGACCACCTCTCCAAAACGTGTACACCCCATCTGCAACCACGGAGCTTACAACGTCAGACCATTTCTCCAACATGTCGAAGCCGCAGGCCGAGCATGTGAAACGACCCATGAACGCTTTTATGGTGTGGTCGCGAGGCCAGCGACGAAAAATGGCTCAGGAGAATCCGAAAATGCACAATTCGGAGATCAGTAAACGCCTCGGTGCTGAATGGAAACTTCTCTCGGAAGAAGAGAAGCGACCATTTATTGACGAGGCGAAACGTCTACGGGCCCTGCATATGAAGGAACACCCCGATTACAAATACCGGCCACGGAGAAAACCCAAATCGCTACTGAAAAAAGACAACAAATATGCATTTCCCCTACCGGTCATTCCAACAATGAATGCCACTTTCGGAACCATGCCGTCATTCTCACCAAGCGCCCAGACAGAGTCCATACTCACGTCAAATTTTGGAGAGAAAGCTCGCGGTTTTTTTTACCCCCAACGTCCACGACACACGCCCTCTATTCACACCTTGCAGAGAATGCTGCCAAAATGGACAGTCCGCTTAATCTTCGGCCACACGAACTTAACGGGGCAGGTGGACTTTATTCTCCTTATATGACCTCACACAGTTCACTGGCCGGACTCCCGCCAGCTGCTCATACCCATTCAGGACTCGCAAGTCAATTCGTTCTACCCTGTTGCCCCCCTGCGTATATGCCCTCTCAAGATTTGCACAGGCCCGTGGTTTACGTACTTGTAAAAACCAGAGGAACACTATCGCCATGCAGTTATATAAACATAAGCAAAAATGTATAGTTTTATCCAAGCACACATACACACATACACACACACATATCCATTATATATATATATATATATATATATATATATATATATATATATATATATATATATAAAGTAAAACACTCAAATCCATTAACACAAAAAATTTTTCCACCTACGTGAACTTGAAAATTAAAAAATCATTTGAAAATTATTCATAAATGAATGAATATATGTGTATGTGTGTATATATATATATATATATATATATATATATATATATATCTTGTGTGTGTGTGTGATTACGTACCATATATGTGTGAGTGTATATAATACATAAGAATATACATATTAAATTGAATATATATATATATATATATATATATATATGTATATGTATATATATGTGTGTGTGTATGTACGACATAAATAAGTTGTCGGGTGGAAATGGCATTTTCATAAAAGACCAAAACAAAATATCCTTTTATATACATATACAAATATATATGTGTGTAACTAAAAAAAAGTTATGAGAGATTTTTTAACAAAACCTGGAGACCAAATCAATGAAAATTCTGGGTCGCGAATTTTTTTTTTTTTTTTTTCCCTTGTTTATCTACAACTGACCTCCTAAATGTAAGTCAAATGTATTTTCTAAAAAAAAAAAAAAAAATTGAAAAAGAAAAGTGAAAAAAAAAAAAAAAAAAAAAAAAAAAATTACCCAAAGAGAAAAAAAAAAATTAATTTGACCAAAAAACATTTGTACATGAGAATCGAAAACCATGCATCTGATCAATCAATTTTTTTTTTTTTCGCCTTCAAACTTTTTTGGAAAGAGCTAAATCGAAAACGTCTACAATATTTACACATTCAGGAACGATTAACAGAAAACTCTCAAATTTTTTTTTTTTTTTTTTCATTTATTAAAACGAAAATTAAATTCATCGATAAACTTTCACCGGCACCAGTTCGACCCTTTTCCCCACAAAAAAAAGAAAAAAAAAAAAAAAAACACAATTATATTTATATATAATTTTTAATTGTTGAAGCTGATCCCAGTTTACTTTTATCGCACTCTCGTCTCATTTAAGGAGTGTTCCGATTGTTTATTTTGAATCTTTTTTCAGTAGGTCAGATTCTAATTTTCATTTATTTTTTGTCATTATTTATAAATAAATTATTTTGTCTTTTTAGTAACGTCTTAACTTTTTTTTAATTCCTACATTAACATGTGTTAACATTATCAATTGTTCACTTTCCGATCGATTAGCGGCTTTTTTATTTTTTTTTTTTTTTTTTTCGTACAATTATTTCGCCACTGTTTGAACTTGGATTTATTTCTTTACCAAATTGTCTGGTCTTCTCGACCCGCGGGTTTTGGTTTGATAAAAATAGTCTCTACTACAATCTAGTCTCTACAGTCTAAAGCACAAGTGAAAGTAAATAAAGTTAAAAAAAAAAAAATGTTGCGAAATAATTACATATTTTCATACACATACACGCATGCGCACAAATATATATATGTATATATATATGTGTGTGTGTGTGTGCGTGTGTGTGTTATATGCAATTCACGTTATTTTACAATTTGGATTATGAAAATATCAAAAATTAAAGATTATTTAATTCTTTATATATCATATCAAACAATCACTTGAATTTTAATTTTTTTACACATTATTAATCGCTGGCTATATATATATATACACAGATTGAAAGTATTAGTGATAAATATACACATGCATATGCAATCATATATCTAAAATATATATACATACATACACATACATATATATTTG